TTTAAAAATGTGATGGGACACAGTATACTCTTTTTGTAGATAATTGAAGGAAAAGCTATAGCTTACAATGAGACATTAAAGATAGGATTCATGTCACTTAACTTTAATCACCTAAAATGTAAACATTTAATCTGAGTTAGTCTGTGCACTTTTTATAGCCAATAAAAAGAGAGCGAGATCTGCAAAAGACAACTCATCCTAGTCTAAAACGGGTGCCAAAACCTTGGGGATGGGGTGCCAAAACCTTGGGATGAGGTGTCTTCTGGAGGTACCTTTTCTTCCTCACTATTGAGGGAGCCTGGACAGCAAGCCTAGACCAGACACACATTTTTAGATCATTAAAATTAAGAGAGAAGTAGCCCAGCCTACACATCCAAGGATCCACATTGTGTAAAGCCCAGGGGAGATGGAGAGGAAAGTGTGTGCTCCTGCTTCGCTGACGTGTGGCTGAGGGGCTGAGGCTGGGGGTCCAGGGCTGCAGAGCAACGGGGGGGCCAGCAACCAAACCTGCAGACCTCAGGCAGGTTTCGGCTGATGGATGGCTCAGCTTGCTCAGCATTTGGGAACTCACTCCTGATGAGCTTCCTCCACAAAGCTCGTGCCACTCTGGATTTATGTGAGTGGGGAGAAACTGCAATCTGAAATCTGACCTCTGGGGCTCACGGCATTAGGATGGTTCTTCCTGACAGCTTCAGCCATACCAGATTATAAGCAATTAATTTAGCAAGCTATAAAAATAGAAGCACCTGTTTATTGAAGCACTGTTCATTTAAGATAACAATGCCATACTTTTCAGCATCATAACATTTTTAATTATTCTAATTCTTCCTTTTTCCACAAGGTCTATTCATTATTGCACCTGTAATCAACTTACAATGTATTTTTACTTTACAAAGCTAACTATGAAAAAATGGCTATCAGGCAAACAGACTTATTCCTGGCAGCATTTGAAATGGAGAGGTTCCCCTGGCTCAAGATCACCATTTTTTTTTCCTGACTAAAAATACGCTTTTGTCACTAATATCGTTAATTGACTAATACTCTATGCCTTCTCCTTCACCACTGAATTTTAACCGCGTTGCTTTTCAGAGACAGATTGAGGTTCCCGTCTGTTGGGGATGTATTTGTAGTCTCCCATGCACCCTTTTGCAGTGCAGCACCGCATGAAGGGTGGGAGGGCGAAAGCTGCAGTGACAGCCCACTCCCACCTGCGTGTCCTCCCGTCCCTGGCAAGCACGGGACAGTGGAGAAACTCTGACCCTGCCAGCTTCTCCTAGCCTGGTTTTTCCTTCAGGACTGGCATCAGGCAGTCTGTCCCGTCCTCCCTTTTTGACCCTGGTTCTCCCACCTTAAGACTTCAGATCTGCGTATCTCCTACATGGCTGTGTCGCAAAAGGTGGTGGTTGAGCTCGCTTCCTCTTGTGGCCAAAGAGTCTGTGGCCCCTGTATTCCCTAAGGGACCACAATTAATGTCCTTCTTCCCCATTAGCCCAGCTGAATCTGCCAGCAGTTCTCTTTAACCAGGCTTATTCCTGCAAGCCTTTCCTCCTCTTTGACCTTTTTATTTCTCTATGTTTATATTACACAGGCAACCAAATTTTCAGCACCATCCCAGGAATATTAAACCCAAGTTTAATATTCGTCATTGTTAGGAAAGTTTTCTTTGCTCTTAAAACTATATTTTTTTCCATTTTCACTTTCATCGTTGCTCTTTTAGAGCCTCTCAGGCAGTTGGAGTAATTCCTCTGATGTTACCCTGAGACACAAAAACATAACAGCAGTCATATATCTGTGACTGTATACACAGATTGAGCAATTTCATATTCACAGTTTGTTTAGAAATTGTAATTGCATTTGCCCTTCTGTGCAGACTTCTGTATTTCTTCCCAATTTATCCCTAGACCTGTTTTGGTTCCTGTCTGCTGAATTCCCTTCAGTCTGTAAAAAGCCTTCAGGCAACCGAGCTATCAGCACTACATTCATTTTTTCCCCAGTGACGTTTTAGCAGTGCCATGAGACTTCTCAATGAGGCAGCTGAGCTTGGCCATATTCCAGTGGATGCCTTTGAGCACATGGGCTTAATTTTCTTCCTCATAGTAAACCATTCAAATCTGTATTTCCTTTTTTAAGGCATGTTTAAATAGTTCTATTTTCTATTAGAAAAACAAATTGCAGTAGCAAATCTATTTTAACCAGTATGGAATAAGGAGCAAAATTCATCAATGTAATGTCATTGACTCAAAACCCAGTGAAATATATCTGTGACTCTTCACTCCTGCATCTCTACCTGTATTTATATATTACACCACCCAGTATGTGCACATCGGTTTGTGTAATACATGAATAAAAAAACAAATTAATTTTTTTTAAGTATATAAATGCAATGCTAGCTTCACACAGCATATCAATGAACTGACATTATGCTGGCAATATTCTAGCTCTGTTTCAATTTTTGTAAAGTTCAGAGATATCTTCCCAAACTTGGGAATTTTCTGTAAGCCTCCTGATGGCGGTAGCCTCCTCATGGCCTCTCCTCCTCCCCGCTCTCATGAAGTTGCACTGCTGCACCATGGGGCTCTAGGAGACCCACAAGGCTGGGTCGCCGACTTCAGTATCTTCCACGTATAGAGGTTTGGGGATTAGTCCCAGTCCAAGCCTTAATCTACAGTGCATTTGTACTTGGGGAAAAGTCCACTGATTTTAATCAAGCTGATGAAGCTTGTGGAAGTGTGTTTGTTCAAAAATTCGGTTTCATGAAATAAAGAACATGCCGTGAAAAATACCAGTGTGATGCTGAGCAGGCCCGTGGCGTTCAGTGTGTAAATACTTCCTAGCATTTTGTGATTCCCACTAGAAGCACAACAGGGCAAACTCCGTATCTAATCTGAGCATGTCACTAACCTGTGGTTTTAATAGGCTAGACAATAACAGTGTGGTAAAATCAAATGTCTGCCAGTTTCCAGAGCACTGGTGCCTGCGGGTGCTATACACTTCCCACTCTCAGACAGCAAATATCACCGGGCTTGGTCCATAGGGAAGGGTAGAAATCTCCTCACCTGATGTCATTCGGCACCCACTCCAAAACAGCAGCCTTCATGCTGGATGAATCCTTCCCTGGAGGTGCCTGTCTCCCCCGCCCCAGACTGCAGAGGGAGCGAGCCTGCACGATGACTTAAGCCTGATTAGGCTAGCTGCAATGAACCTGGCCTAATTCAGCAAAACACAGGCACAATCCCTCGTTGCTTATCTAAGCACGTGGGTATGCATTTCATTTGGTCATCAGCTTGTGCAGAAGTCAGTCCAACATGCATATGTTTACATTTCAGAAAGTGCTTAATTCAGGGACTAGGATGGTTGTACTAGGGCCTTAAAAACTGATTTTAGGTCTAGACAAGGTGGTCAATGGCTGTTCAATACTCATTGCTGGTATACTGCACCCATGCCCCATCGGGGAAAGCTATACCAACCCACTGCATTAAGAAAATTAATGTAGTATGAAAAATACTACATTCACTTGAAGAAGTATTTTCAAATTGTCCATGTATCATCAGGGAATCGTGGCTCAAGAACAATCTGAACTTCTTCAAAATGGCTGAACATTGAAAAACTCTATGGGCATCATGAAAACTTGGGGCATTTCAGCCAAAATGGTGAGCTACAGACGTATGAAAAAAGGAGTTTGAGTGGAAACTCTTACGCAACTTTAACCACAGTGACCAGGACTGTCAATGATAATTACCCCCGAGTGATTTTTAAAACACAAAGGGTTTTTTTTACTTACTAATTGAAGGTACATGTTGTGGTTGTACTCTTCTTCCTCTCTCATTCATAAAGATGATGTAGAAATTATTTTCATGTCTCACAGCGTTCATTATGGAGGGAGCCATTAGGTATGCAGTGAAATCCCACTGACCTCACGGCCTTTAAGCAAAGCAGGCATGTGTAACCATCGTGTCCATCTCTCCCCTGTCACTCTCTATTGCTCTCTTTACAGTCAAAGCCAAATACTCACTTGACAAAGCAATAGCGATTATGTGTCTGCTTTGTGGTCTGCTTCTCTAGTCCTGCAGACTACGTCTTCCTTTCTTCTTTAACACCTCAGACACCTAAAAAACCCTGTTAGGTTTTTATCTCCTTGATCTTTTTTATAGTGTTACATCTTGAGCTGATGGCACTGTAGTATATGCAAAGAATTTCCATTTTTTTAACGTTTAATAATCTGTAGTTAAAATTACTTTGGACAATATTGTTACAGCTGTATTTGAGTTAATAAAAATCAGATTCTTGGTGGTATAATTTGATATAAAACTACTTCATTATCATAATAACTAGGATTTAAATTAGAATTATAAACCAACACTGCATCAGGAGTTGTTGTATGAGCTAGAGAAAATTAGGCTGACTTGCACTCCAGTATATAACTTCCACTTTTTATTCTGTACATACAGATTAACTAATAGTCTTACTAATAGCCCGGTTCTGATTTTAAACTGCAGTAGCTCTGTTTATTAATGGGAGTTATTACTAGCTTTCACTGGCATGAGATCACAATTAGGCTTACTATCTTAATTTCTCTCAGTATATTCTTTGGCCAGAAGTTATATAGCGGAAGCACATCAGTCTGGATGCTACAAACTAAATTAATTCTCTAGGGAAAAATTCTTTGTTTCAGTGAATCAAGCTCACAGCTGAATCTGTACAAGCAATAGAAGCTGCAGGTATGCATCAAGGACAGAATTTGGGTCCATCTTCAGCCACAGTTGTGTATTTAATATTCCAGGAGTAAATCCAGATTAGAGTGATTGCTGTTTCTCTAATTAATGGAAGTGACCTGATATGAAGCCTCAAATTGCAGTGGTTGATTTCCAAAAATCTATGAATAGAATTACTGCCCCTGTGGGACTACTTGCTGAAGGGCTTGTAAGAGTGTAGTGTTCTATGTTAAATTGGATAAGAAATAATAATAAAAATAATAAATAATAATAAATGCATTTTTTCAGAGTCACTTTTCTGTGAAGAAAGGAGCTGCAGCCTTGGGTATTGGTACAGATAGTGTGATTCTGATTAGATGTGATGAAAGGTAAGTAAAGATGCCAAATACAGCTCCTTTTGTCCATACATAGAGGAAGATCATCAGGTGCTCAGCTCAGAGAGAGCATACAGGATGCAGTCAACAGTTGGTGTAATTCATCACAGCGCTATCATCTTCAGCAGCCTTACCGTGATTTATCCTGCATGAGGAACTGGCTCTGTCAGTAGCTTCTTTATGAGTCGGTTTTTGGAGCTCATAAAAAACCTTAAAGTTCCCATCCTCGGGGATTTCTGATATTTCTTTTTCTTTCACCCTGAAGTGAAACAAAAATTCCAACTAACATTTGTTCTTCATACATTCTGCTAAGGGACGAGGAAGAGGCTTGTTTTGGTCGAAGTGGAACATTTAGACACTCACATTTTGATCCATTAAAATGAAGCAAAGGGGGCCTTTTAAAGCAGTAAAATACTGAGGCGCTATTACTTCAGGCTCTCGCCATCCTTCTCAGCTGGACTGCATTTCCCTCAGTGCCCTGAATGGGGACGCCCCTACAGTGGGTGTGGAGAGAAGGGTCTTGGCAGCATTGTGGGAGCAGGGGCCAAGGAGGGGATTGGCCATTGGAAAGGCATAGCACAGCAGGCACCTAACCTATAGGTCCCATCAGCAATACAAAACCAGTGATAGATAACTTCTTGTTTAACTCACCCAACTAAAAGGGTTTGATTTTCTGTGAAAACCTGTTTTGCGAAAGCAAAGGAATATTAACAAAATCAACATGTTCTGATGAAGATTTTCAATTTTAGGGAAAACATGCTTTCTATGGGACAAAAGTTGATAGAACAGTCCTTATCGATTCTACTGAGAATCCTCTCAATAGAATATGCTTTTACTATGAGTCCCAAATATCATTGTTATAAGGTATTGAATTATTTATGGCTCTAGCATAAATGGAAGGTTTTACTGCTATAAAAATATTCTGCTCCCACATTAAAAGAAGAGCATCAACTAAGCAATTTACAGTGCTAATCACAGTGCCTGCATATTGGCTTACAGGCTTATTATCTCTGTACTGACAAAAGACTGAGCTCACCTTGAAGAGGAATTAATGACAACACCAACACAACCAGCACACATCAAAATAAACCTCCAATTGTTTCTATTCACTAAACACAGCCATGGATCAATGAAGTTGTGTCTTCCTTTTCTTTTGTGCAAATTCAGCGTGGTGGTTTTCTGTGCAGACCACAATGCTTACCCTGCCCACCCTGAGGTAAAGAGTGGGATTACTGTGTGTCTCACTAAATCCCAGCAGATGCCACTGGGACAAAGCGGGCTGTTTGCACAGGATATGGGCTTGTGCAGTGGACAGGACCCTCTGTGAACATGTGGACCTGTGGGAGTGTGAAGGAGCACCACAAGATCTTTTGATGTTTCCAGCATGACCAAGCACTCTTCTTGGTGGCTCTTCTCTTCCCCATCCTGACCCACACCTGCCAAGCTTGCCTTGTTTTGCTGTATCATGGGTCTGTGTAAATGTGTGGTGAATTTCAAGCCAGGAGAACGTGCAGAAAATCATGTTCTTGCTCGTACCCCAGACGGGCTAACCATGTATTTCCGTTGCCTCTTTTACTACCATGCCGACATCTTGGTAGCAATAGCACATTACCTACAGGTTTGGGGTCAAAACACTTTAGTATGGTATGGCAGCAGTGGAGACTGTGTTCAGATGTGGGTAATATGAGAAGACTTTGACACCAACACTTACTCTGTCCTTAGTGTCCTTTTGCTGCCAAGTCTCTTCTGCCTCTCCCAAAGCCAGCCTACTGCTTGGCTCCTTGGTAAAGCTTGGCATACTCAACATGACCAGGGGCTGGGTAATCACTTGTCTTGGTAAAAAAAAATCGGCAATGAAGGGTTCTGCACAGCTCTGTGTGTGTTTGTATGCACAAGCTCAATAAATTAGAAGCTATTAAAAGACCAACATCTAAACTATGTCTGGAGGAGGAACTCATTGCCTTCCTTTAGCATGCTTTTTTTTTCTTTATTCCTCTACTGATCCTAGAAACAGTTTTTGAAGATAAGACAACTACTGCTTTTCTCTGAACATGTCATCTAACTGGGGGGAGCTCACAATGAGTTGAATATTCTTTAGGCCTTGAACTTTTTTGAGAAAAATTAGGGCCAATTTTTAGACAGATTTTGCAAAAGACTCAACAATGCAAACTCACTTCTACTGAAATAATTACTGACTTATTGTGAGCTGTGTAAGGATGAAAACTTAATAAAACCTAGCAGTATCTTATTACAAGAAGTTAGTAATTTTTTTTTTTTAAATTTACATCCATCCAAATGTCATGAAAATACTTCAGGGTTTTTTCATGTAAAAGTAAAACTAAAATGCATGGTTTGATTTGTTTCCCTAGAACCACTACTTTGAGCTTTAGTAAAGGGGTTTTTTTTTAAAGCAAAAGGAAACAGTGCTTTAGTGATAGAAAAAAATGCGTCCAACTATACTAAACCCCAAAAAAGTCCTTGAAAGTACATATACACATAAAAAACTAAATGGACAACTCTTGAATCCAGTGAAGAGTTTATTCCTGTAATGTGGGGAGCTGTCATGTTTGTATTGCTGTTACGCAGAGTCTCTTCTTAGCTAGTCTTGCTTGTGGCTAAAGCAAAGAAAAAACATAACCTCAATATTCCATATCAGCACTGTTTACCTTGTGCTTCATTCATTTACAGGATTTCATAAATTAGCCTATGAGCCTTGTACTGCTGAGTCTGAATCTCATGCGAATGGTCCATACTAAATGTGTTGCAATGTACAGTCAATACAGAGGGCCTGACAGTGCATTTAATGAGTCCAGACTGGTAGCTTCTTCTCATATCCTGCTTCAAGCAAATGTGAACATGTAACACACCAAACTGCGGAACAGTTGCCCTGAAATGAGTTCATCCCTCAGATGGAAACATGGAAACGACTGCTTACACCAGAGCTGAGTCGCACTGCTCAAGGCCATGCAGCTCAGCTGGCATTTTTTGTGCTTGCTGAAGGAGGACCAGGGGGGTTGGCACCCAGCGAGCTTCTTGGGACCCTGGGCTGAGCCTCTTCCTCAGGGCCTGGAGCATATTCCTAGGGCTGTAACATCAAACAGGACCAGGAGGCTCCATGGAGCAGCATCAGTCTTTAATGAGGGTGGCCACGAGGTAACTTCTCTCAGTTACCATCACTGTATTGATGCAAGCTGGTTGACAAAATAATTAAGGTAAAACTCAGACTAATGGTCAGAGTCTTTCTGTGCTCTTCAGTGGTGCACAAGCCTTGGGCAAAAAAGTACTTTGTTCCTTATTTGGGTTTCCTATTAAGTGAAGAAGTAACTGCAAGAACTGATTTCAAGATCAAATTTCTAATGTAACTTTCTCTTGCTCCAGAGGAAAAATGATCCCATCAGACCTTGAAAGAAGAATTCTTGAAGCCAAACAAAAAGTAAGTTTACTAGCTTTTCTGCTTTCCCAAAACCAAAAATAACCCAAGAATGATACAGTTAGTTAGTTGGTTTGCATTCCTTGGTAAAACAACATAGGCTTGCCCATTAACTTTTGATTTATTTTTCAGAAATTTAGCCTGGCAAGAGTTGCTGAGAAAATACTTCATAATCTTCATGAGCTATTTGGCTTTTTTTATGTATTCCTCTGTATAATGTCCCCTTTTTTATATTATAAGCCTTTGATGCAGTCCCTCAGCTGAATATTGGCAAAAACATTTGGGTAATTTGTACATATTTTAACATGTTGAAAGTATTCCTCCTCATAGTCATCAAAACAATGGAAGATAAACTAAAATCCACACATCTCAAAAATGCACCACTTTTGTATGTGTTCATTAATAGAAGCTAGAATTAAAACAATGGATTAAAGTGTGCAATGGAGTTAGCCCTGTGCCTTCAACATTTATGTAAGTAATCTTTAGAAACACAGCATTCAAAGCTCATTAATAACACAAATCTTCATTAAAAGCTTACTTTGTCTAAGAAAAGCAATATGGTAGATAAAAATGAAAGGTAGCATGGCAGTAGAGTACCACCCAAACCTATTGATGATGTATTCCACTTTGCAGAGGGAAGTTTAGATGGTTTTGATAGTTTAAACCCCAGCTCTGCAAAAAAATGTAGCCACTCTTTACCTTCGTTGCTCTGAGTACTGCTTATGAAATCAAGAGAACTACAAATGCATTTAAAATGGAACACTGGTATAAATTATGGCATGTGACGGACAGTGACCGCTCCCTGTGAGGCACAGCATCTAGCAGAGGGAAACCCAGAGGTGGTCCCTGGCCCCCGTGGAGACTGCTGTCTCCCCACTCTGCACAAGCGATGGGGCTGGAGCTGAGCCCCACACCTCCCCTGTGCATTGCCCCCAGGACACACCCCCAGACAAGGTGCTCCCACTGGCAGGACTGGGCCACCACAGGTTACCTACCACTGGGGTAATTATAATACAGCCCAGGGCACAGTCCACCAGAGATATTTCTGGCACAGTGGTGCCTGGGAGAGGTTTGGTTTATGCAACATCATGCAGAGCGGCCCTTTGTGTTTCAGGTGGGGGCAAGGAGCAGAATTGTTGTTCTGAGCCCTCACCTGTCTCATGCATCCTAATAAATGGAGGATGATGGTTTGGAAGCTTGCTGCCACCTTAAGGTAGAAACTGTAATAACACTGGCATCTAAACTAAGAAAACCAGTGCAATGTAGCAGGGATGTCCTCTAGGAGACACTTGTGGGTTCAGTGTGGAGGCACCACAAGAGGAATTAGGGCTGCTGCAAGCTGCGGAGGCTGCGGCACCCTGACCTTGCCAAATACCTCTGTGATTTCTTGCAGGGATTTGTTCCTTTTCTGGTGAGTGCCACAGCTGGGACAACAGTGTACGGGGCGTTTGATCCGCTCATAGCTATTGCAGACATCTGCAAGAAATATAAAATCTGGATGCACGTGGATGTAAGTATCATCTTACGTGGGGGGCTGGATTACAAGATGTATTAGCATTAATTTATTCATTTTGGACAGTGTCATCTTGTACAAAACCCGTTGTGTTTGGTTCCTGTAATTAAGTCGTAACATCCAGGTGCTGAGTTACCGCTCCTCTGAAAGGCTCAGGTCAGGGGGACATTTTGGGACCTGTGACACTGCGGTACCTTTAGCAACTGGGACACCTAAGATGACGTAGTTTGAGTGCTTTTGGCCATCAGTTTTAGCTCTAAATGCCATTAGTACAAGAAATACATAAGAACCATACTGAGCACTGGCTCAGCTTTTGCAGCAGCTGCAAAATTAATACATAAGGAAAAGGCTACATTTGTGTGGAATAAAGTACTGCAAATTGCTGAAGAGGTTAATGAGAGTGTTAGAGAAATTTATCACGTTGGCTACTTAGCTTTATCTGGGCTCTTGCCAATAAATCTTTCTGAAGGTTCATCTTTCAGCCCTAGAATGGCTTTTGTGTCATTTTTTGCAAATCCTTTCTCCAAAAAGGCTTGGTAATTTAATTTCCATGGGGATGGGTATCTTGCTTTTGGATTACTGTGTCAGCCAAAATCACTCCAATTCAAAGGAAGAATTCATATTTACCTTAAACTACTTCACACGAAGTGCCTGCTTGTCCCAAATCTCTGTGAGCGAAAGGAAATGAGTAGCGGGCAAGCAGTAGTGATCTGAAATCTGGTAAAAACTCACCAGAGCGGCTGAGATCCCCGTCTGGTTTGTTATCATCACCGAGCCACTAAAAGAGAAAAGGCAAGTTACCCAGGAGCAGCTCTGCAAGTCATTAATTACAGTGAGGGGCAGCCCAACCTGTCGGTGTCAGAGGAGGTGGCGAGGGAGGGGTGAGCAGGCGATAAGGGTTGGCACGCAGATTACAGGCTACAAAATCACCGCTTCCAAGCTAGTGGAAGAAAATTGTTAGTACAGCTAATGCCTCAGGCCCCGTCTGCCTTAAGAGAATGTGTCCTGTCTTCTAGGGAGCATGGGGCGGCGGGCTCCTGATGTCAAGAAAGCACAAATGGAAGTTAAATGGCGTTGAAAGGTATGATTGATTAATAGCAATTAAACACATTTATGAAATACATTTTATCACACTTGTGATTACCATAACAATGCCTATAAATAAAAATTGATGTTATCTCCAAGATGCAATATGAAGAAATTATGCAGACTGACCTTCCAGGTGAAGTAGCATTGCTAAGTGTCTCTGTTCAATGCTACAGTAATGTGGCACTTTGTTTTGTAATACCTTTCTCATTTGAGTTTTCATTCCTTCCAGCATACATTGCAGCTCCAGGGTGGTTTCTGCAGCATCCAACATGAATTAGCAATTGCATTCCTCCAAGAAGTGAATCTTGGAGGTCTTGCATGCTGAAGTCTAGGTATGAAAGGTGGATGCACCAAACCTGCAGTTTGGACAGGTGTCCTGGTGGCCACTGACCACCACTCTGTTGCTTCTGGAGAGATTATCCCCCTCCAGGCTGTGTTAATGACACCTTCTCAGTAAATCTGTGCCTGGATATACACGGTTGTAGCCATGAGCTCATGAACATCACACGTACACACAGATGAACATAAGCGATGCCAGTCCACTTCAGAGTCTGGAAAGACTGAACTTTCAGTTTATTCAAAAACTTTTAGTTAAGCTGTGAACTCCTTGCCATGTTAAGATTTACCTGCGTTCAAGGGAAGACAAATGAAAACCATTTGGGACTTCTGTGAGCCACAAATGACTGGGGGCTCAGAGAGTATTTGGAGGAAGGTTATATATGCTTGACCTGTTTTGTATTCTTCTCAGGCAAATATTTAGGCCGCTTGCTAGAGCCTCACTGGGTAGATGGAGTCACTCTCACATTTGTGTATTTTCTGAAACACATGCTGTTTGAGAGTAAATTATTACTCCATTCCACCTTTTTTATCTCAAAATCGAATTGCTGCTTTTTGCCAATTAAAATTACAAACAACTTCCTCATCCTGTTCCTGAAGATTAGGAGGATACCTTGATGATTCAGTTCCTTTCTCATACATCTCACATGCAAAATTTGGAAAGCAGCCAAAGGTTCTATGAATTTGATTTAGTTAAGACTGCCTCCAGCACTCCAAACTTACATGTTCTGCATTAAAAGGATATACATCCAAATATCCAGCAAGTTTGAAAAATCTACCCAGTTGCCTTTGAGGACAGAGTTTGAAAAAAAGAGTTTGCCTCCCAAATTGCTGTGCAAATTCTGCTGGAATGAGAAGTTCAGGTGGAATCTATACTGGGGAGTTTTCCAAATAATACGCTTTAGATGCAGAACTCCACTGGCTTTTATCTAGCGCTTTGGTAAGTGACATCTCCATATGTTTGGCAATGAATTAATGAAATTTGTCATTTCCAGTGCTGTTCCTCTGCTTGATGGACACAGCATCTCATTTCAGTTTGTCCAGATTTCAAATGCGGGTACTTTTAGAGGAGACTTACTAAACCCAGCTTTCATGGACATTCCTGTTTCATGGTAGATACTAGAGTACAACCCAGTCATTACAGGTCTGGATGGAAGAGAACTGGGGCTGTGACTCATGTTTGATAGGGGAGAAAGGGACAATGAGGGAACATTAGATAGGGCATTCTGTGCTCCAAGTACTCCCATCCTTCTGGTAACAGACAGTTCAGCAAAAATACTCCTGTCGAAGGCAGGAGGAATTGCAGGACCATCCTTACAGTGCCTTCCAGTCCCCACATGGCAGATTTCAAGCTGCTCCAAGGCACCCTTGAAGGAAGCGTGTCGCCCGGTGTCTGGAGCAGATGGGTCTGGCCACCGTCAGGAGTTTCAGTCGGGTGTCCCTCTCCCAGGGGCTTGGGCAGGGGGTGAGGGCTGTGTGAGAAAAGCACGTTTGCAGCTGAATGAGCAGAGCGCTCATTCAGGGTCTGGGCATCCATCCTGGGCTGCAGCCGGCCCGTGAATGCACCTCCCGTCTGTTTTTAATGGTGGCTGAGGACCAAATTCTGCCAGTCTTGAATCTCTCCTGTCATCCGTTTGAAATCTCTAAAGGAAAACTTTCCCTCCTTTTTTTTTTTTTTTTTTCTGTCTGTGACCCACAGCCAAAAAATCCCATAAGTGCTTGGTGCTCAGTTTTTTGGGTGAATGTGAGATGCTTTAAAAAAACATCTGTGGATCCATGTAGCTTTTTTCCTTCACTGTTGGTCTCAGTCAGCAATTTCTTCAAGCACATACTGATGGCTGAAGCCCAGAATAACTGATAACAAATGAAAAATGGTGGATTTTTATTTTACATAATTTTTTTTCTGTGTGCAGTTGGGATGTAATTGGGGAAATAAATGACCTTAGGGTAAATTAAATGTTTTAGGCAGATAATTAACATCTGGCTGTTGTCAGTAAATAATCCTTTTGCTTGACAAAACCCATTCCACTGCTATTACCTAGAAGTCCTTTAAAGAATTTCTGCCTCATTCTGCATAGGCACAGATAAAAATTAAAAAGTATCGTATCAAAGGAAATTCATAGACCTGAATGCACGTTCAGAATCATTAGCTTTGGTGTTGCAGTCAGATGACTGACTGAGCTGATTAAAAGCTGCCGAATACTCGAAAAGCCAAGCCAAGTGGCCAGATGTTGCCTGTGGAAGACTGTTCCCTGCAGATTTTGCATCAGAATTGCGCAGTCCCGTTTAAATAGGAAAGAAGAAAGCACAGAAGTGCTGCCCGGTGGCTATGTGAATTTTGGTGTTGCTTGCTTTGAAGGAGTGAAAGCAATTTGGCAGGAAATGATAAGGACATGCATAAACCTCTAGTGCTGTCTCCAAATCCTACAAAGGAAAATACTGCCAGATTCCAACATGCTCACCGCTTTTCACGTAAATGTTACCTGCAATTGTGACCTGGGTGGTTTAAGTTTTTACATGCCCCTGTTGACTGATTTATACTGTCAAAACTCAAATCACTGCACTACATGGAATCCTGTGCACTGTGCATCCTTGACAGCCTGTCAGATAGGGCACAGATGTGCACATCTATCAGCTAATCATCATATGTAATAATAGTAATTAAGAAATAGCCAGTCAAGCGTAACACAAAATTAAAATAATAAACGACTGGACAACCTTCCATTCAGCTCTTGCCACAGTCCCAAACGTCTCTTCTCTAAGCTTTATCGTGACAGGACCCTCTTTGTTCACAAGTTATTTTTGCAGTGAATGTGTCCTGGAGGGAGGCAACATCAGGCTCTTTTGTGGAAGGGTGGGTCAGTTCTATGTTTATTACTATGGTAATTTTGGACTCAGTCCTTCAGCATGTGAATTATCATAGCCACGCTAAAATTAAGGAGCTATGAAAACCTACCATGAGCAGAGCAATGAGAAAAATTACATTGGGCCAGGTTTTCCAAGTTACTCAGAGACTTAGAGGTACCCAGGAGTATTTAAAGGAATTTTTTAAAAATGCCTATGTGAGCTACTTACTAGAATCTTACTGAAACTGGAATAAATGGGAGAGAATGTGCTAGTTCAGCAGCTTCCTATCTGCATCTTTAATCAGCTGTGTGACTTTAGAAAGTTCATCAGGCAGACGGGTGTTCTTAGGAAGTTTGCCTTATGTTTATGACGTATAGATGACTCCCCAGAAAGTTTAATGCTGATTAACTTTAGTGGATAGAGCAATTATCCTGCAGTAAGTTGCCAGAATTGTCATCCAAAAACCAACTAGAGTGGATTAGGTCCCTTATGAAGGCATTAAATTCCTAATATCTGCAATAATTATTTTCAGCTTTGTTTTCTCAGAAAAACATCCGCATTACTACATGTTCATTATTCTTATTATTATTACTAAATGTCTCTGTGGTTTCACCGCCATAGTACAATGTCTGAGTTTCATGTGGTTTGCTGCCCCAGGGCCAATTCGGTGACCTGGAACCCTCACAAGATGATGGGCGTCCCGCTGCAGTGTTCAGCCCTGCTAGTAAGAGAAGAGGTATGTCCCAATATGCTCACTTCTCTGACCTTTCCTGACATTTTGCTTCTGCAAATACTGGATGTTTTCTTCATAACTGTGTCATAGCTAATATTCGCTAATGTGATGAGGATTGTAAAAGAAACGGAGAAGCAGACCTCTAGTTACTTGCTTAGGCTGTGAGTGCAAAAGGAATTAAAGCAGCTGTCTAGCAGAAATGATAGATCCAATTAATGGCAACGATCTGCAGAGTTTTGTGGCTTTCCATTCAAAACATCCATAGTTAAGTTGTGGGTGCATAGCTGTGTAACCCCACTAGTTTCTGTGTAGCATAAAATGTGACTGTAGGCAGACTCTTAGGATGAATGGTGTGGTATACATGCAGCATGACATTTGGTCCAGAATCTAGGCATCATTACACTTGCTAGACTTACTTATATGATAGATATTTCAGCCCAGCTCTGATCCATGTATCCATTTTGGGGCACATGGAAATAAAAAGGAAGACTTAAGTTCACTTGGAATAAAAAGTAGGCATTTAATTTAGTCCTAGAATTTGAATTACCCTGTAATTTTCATAACAACCATCCGTTACTGGGACAGCTGCTATACCACCACCACTTACTAGACCAGCTATCCAAAAGCTGGTTGCTGTTTTGCTAACAGCTGTACAGCAGATTGTATACAAAGTGATTGCACTTAGGAAGAGAAAAGCTGGCTTTTACTTGCCCTCTGGGTCAGTTCCCCGAGACAAATCCTGCCTGGTTCTAGTCACTACCATCCTTGACCTCTAGTGAGAACAGGTGGCTCAGATTAGGAAAAAGCCCATTTTTTTCCCCCTCTCATTTTACTATCTCAGTTTTGAGTTGCACATAAAGACTAGACTTGATGATAAACAGCCAAGTTTTGATTGTTCTTGGACTGAAAATTGCAATTTTAGGCAACAGCCCTAAGGTATACCTTAAGCTTGATGAGGACTTAACTAGAGCCAGAACATGACTCTCTGCATTTCACTTAAAACGCTGAAAAGGAAACCTCATGCTTTCAAGAGCCAAGTTTCTTCACCTTGTTGGCTTCTGGCCCTCCCACAAAGCTGCCTCTCAAAATAGTATCTTGCAACCCAGAAATAGCTTTAGCTGGCTCTTTAAAGGCCTTATGCCCTTCTGTCTGTTCAAAGCTTTCTATACCACTTAAGCATCCAATCTGCAGCTGAGGGCTTTGCAGAAAAGAACTGTGCCTACAAAGAAAGAAAACAATGAAAATCAGAATTTTAAGAGACCAAAGCAATTAGAAAAGTGATGTGGTACTATTTAGATTAGTCATCAAATTGGCTTGGTCTGACTCAACTAGAAAAAAAAAACCTTCCAAGGAAAGGAGGAAAAGGAACTAGAACGAGGAATAAAAAGCAAGATCCAAAGATGAACTTCTGCATAATGATGCTAGGAAGCACAATGTCTGGCTTCTTTTAAAAAATGTCTTGGCTCTGGGAGTGGATTACACGTTGCTGGGTCAGGTACCGAGGTGTCCTGGGCACCGAACGGGATATGAAAAACTTAGTCCACTGAGCAACTAAGTCTGATTTTCTCCTTTTTTTTTTGATCTTCCTTTTGCACTTGGACACATATTCCACTGAATTTGGGTGTTTCTAATTTTTTGCCCAAAGCAACACTAGTCACATCTGTGCCAACATCACTTTTTTGTGTCTTTGTTTCTACAAGGGATTGATGCAGAGTTGCAATCAAATGCACGCTTCCTACCTCTTTCAACAAGACAAGCACTACGACCTGTCGTATGACACAGGAGACAAGGCTTTGCAATGTGGACGGCACGTTGATGTCTTCAAGCTATGGCTGATGTGGAGGGCAAAGGTAGGACTGCCTACAGTATGTTTGTTGGCATTAAAATAACGCGCACCAGATACAGGGTTTTTTTCTGTAATCATCATTTTAGAGAATGTCTGACCTGAATTTCCCATCTATAACATGAAAGAAAGAACATTATTATTTCTGGGGTTTTTATACTTTTAACAATTTAGCTTCAAAGCAGCACACATGATTTGAAACTTGAACTCCACGGCTTTGCATAACATTTGCTTTGTGTAACTGTAGGAGTCTAACAGCATAAATCATATACCTAAGAACATTGTTGCGAAGATTTTTGGAAATACAAAGATGTTTTAATGACATTCAGAAATTAAACATGGCAAATCAGGACTGGAATACCTAGTATCATTGCATGCAGTAGATATGAAGTCGTCTTTTGAAGGAGTAGAGGAAAATTCATCAAGATCTGTTCTCTGGGAAATCTGAAAACGTCAGCTTTAGTGATTAATACATCTGTATTTGTAGAATGTTGCTAAATAAGTTCTTCCATGTATTTTTCCAATCTATTATGTCAAGTTGCCTCAGGTTTGTTCAGAGGAGATGACATCACTGTTTTCATTTCCAGAAAGCCTTAAAGATCCTCATGTGCTTCATTAAAACTCTGAAAACAGTTCTGAGACAGACATCAGATGTAGCTGGAGGTGTGGGAGTCTGTCGAAGAGGATGCAAGTTTCTGTGGTTGCAGTCGCTGTTGTGCTAACTGGGGTCTCCAGAGCGGCAGGCAATTTTAGCCACGTCTCTCTTTAACTCCAAGCCTTTCTCCCCGGGGCTGTGTTAGCTCTACTCTGTTTTGAAATCTCTATACACAGAGGGATAATGACAGGGGCTTTTAAGTCAGTTCTGCACTGCCAGAACAGATTTAGCAGGGACATGCATCCATTACTCAGAGACATTTCTTCATCTAAACCCCATTTTTTCAATATGCCTTGTACTGCTTTTTCTCTTCTCACACTCCACTTGTAATATTAACGTTACAAAATAGGATGTGTGTTTCTTAAACAGTTTACCTATTCCAGCTGTTTATTCCCCTTCCTCCCTCATAAAGCTGAATCCTTTGTTTGTGGCATCACAGCTGGTGATTGCAGGAACAATTATGATGTCACAGAGAGAGGATTATGACTTCTGCCAGAGAAGAAATAGCAGGTTTTGCTGCAGCTCTTAAAAACACAGCTTCTGAGTTTATATGGTGTCAATTAGGAAAAAAGAGAAAAACATTACAGAGGCAGGGCAGTATCTAAAGAAAGCATGAGTTTTCACAGGCATCAGGCCAGGCTCTGAAATCGTATCTGCATATTCTGTGTTTAACTAAAAAAGAAAAACTAATCTTGGAAAAGCCCCTAGCACATAGCCTCTGGAAGGTTAAAATCCCCTATTCTGAAAATAGCAGAGGACTCCCCATGTCTGGAACTCAACACCTTCTAGAGACGCTCCCCTGCGCCAGCCCAGGCTGTCCAAAATCGTGCTCAGCCCCTCTGCAAAATCTGCCAACGAGGGCACCCTTCATCAGAGGCATTAGCAATATTTTGCTGAGAACCAAGCTAGTACCCAGCGCTTATTTGGCAGAGGTGGCTATAAGGAAGTCAGTGACAAGAGCTAGAGACAACTGAGCTCTGCTTAGCAAAGTGTCATTCATCTCGTAGAATCAGATCCTTAATCTGTCCCACAGAAACTTCTCAGAGGTGACTTGTGCTGGTGCTTTGGCAAGTGCTGCATGGTCCTTTCGCTGTTTCGGTTCACAGAACAGATAGTCACGTAACTTTTTTTCTCCCTCTGTCTCTAAAGGGAACTACAGGATTTGAAGCACAAATTGATAAGTGCTTGGAACTTGCAGAATACCTGTATAATAAAATAAAGAACAGAGAAGGGTATGAAATGGTGTTTGATGGAAAGGTATGTATTGCAACTTCTTTTTCCCAGCTGGTCAACAGGACTTGCCTTAGTCACCTATTGGGATGCTACCGACAGGTCAAACCAAACCACAGGTGACAGAAAGTAGTGTCCCTTGTAACAAAACCTGTTGTTGTGCCAATATCTCTCTTCCTCATGGGATCCAGCAACAAGGGAGATGAGGCAGCTGTGCATAAGATTTCAGTGTGCACAGTTTCACCTCACTGAAACTAAACACCGGCATCACAGGCTAACACAGCACACACACAGTTAGAACCAGCTCTTAAGTAATAAAACCAAGTTGCAGTTTCCTAACAGCAGGGTCCGTTAGGAGTGGGGGGTTGCAGTGCCCTACACAACTCTGAAAGGACGGTTGTGCAAAGCACTTTCATCAGCATCCTCAGGTGGGCAGTCACAGGGGACCTGGGGTGACCCAGGGAGGCCATCTGCACGGCCGTACCTGCTTCACTAGGGTGCAGCACAGCAGGGTGGGGGCTGGTGTTGAAAAGTTAACTGGTGTTTTACCTGTAAAAGAGAAAAAAAAGGTCTCATTTTAGGTTTTTTTTCCTACTTATGATGGTTTTTGCTCTCTGTACTTGCCCTGGAAGGTTTTGTCTCTCAGAACATTGCTCCCTGGTAGTGATCACTTAGTGCATGCCTGAGGGGTCTGCAGCACAAGGATAAACTTCACCATGTTTCTTCCAACAGAGATCACATGCTCATACCCACATGCCGCTATGTGATTTATTTCTTGTACCTCACACATCATCACTGAATTTGGTCCACAGGGTCTGATGATGAGTAAAGGAACCAGCAGTAGTAGGAGTCACTGTGGCTCACACATTTAGCATCCAGCAAAGAGGAGCGTAGCAAGGCAGGCAGCTGTTGGGAGATTGCAAAAATACACAAAATGTCAGCTGGTTCTTACTTTATGTCTTTCTACTTGGTGCTCCCATGTAAGTTAAACTAGCTAAGATGCTGCAGTGCATGCATATTAATACAGCAGCTAGCTGAATCAAACTGAGATGTAATAAATTTCATTAAGTGTAAGAAAATCTTAGGCTGTCTTATGCACCACCTGTGACTCCTGTTTACAGAATCAGATTTTATATTATTCTGTCATGTAATAAAAGTAAATGACATGGTCCTCGCCTCGAAATTATCTGTAATAGACTCCTGCCTTAGCCACATGATCCCTCCAGCCTCTGGAGGGGACAGCACCTACAAAATCTAGATGCTGCTCAGTAGGGGATAAATGTATTTGCACAGCTGGATGATGTGTTACTGCATCTGACACCCTGGGAATAAATTGCCTAAAATTATCTTTTCTGCATTAATAATGATGATGACTCTCAGTGGTCCACAATAATGAAAGCCATAGACTGCTGTCGCAATATGATGTACAAGAGGGGGGGAAAGGCATGAACTTAATTGCAACTGAGATATCCTGAGCATTTCTTACAGTGCAAACCATGTAAACCATTTTTCTGTGTTTAGCCTCAGCACACAAACGTCTGCTTCTGGTATATACCTCCCAGCTTGCGCAGCATGGAAGACAACGAAGAAAGGATGAGCCGCCTTATGAAGGTAAGCAGCGACCTCCAGACATCGTGTAGTGAACAGTGCAATCCCTGCAGGCAGGCAATCCCCGAAATGCCCTCCCAGGGCACAGGGCAAGGTCACCTCATGATAGTCCAGCAAATGACACCTCCGTGGTCATTTTTCTGCAGGTTAGGCTGGCACCACCTTACTCTGGTCTCCACTTTTGATATTTCCTGGGTTTGCCTGGTCCCTAGAGTACTTACTTGGACTCTGTGTATAATAACTGAAGTTACTGTAGACTGCAGTTGCTAAACCCAGCAAGTGCAACAATAGCTTGGTAATACCATGGCATGCTGGTATACAAAAAGAAGATGGAAAACGATTGCAACAGTGTGTTTTAAGCACTACAAAAACCAGCTACTGTGTGGCTGTCAGCAGTACTGAGAGAGCTGGGGGGGATTCCCTTGTGATTTTAACAGCAGGACAAAGAAACAGGATAAACCCAATGTCTTTTCAGTGAGCCATTTATTCCTTAATGGAGGTGAACTTTTTTATTAATACTGGATGTAATTTCATTTTAACTGCTTGTAGCTCTTCATCTTTTTTAAAAGAAGAAAACATACTCTGTGTTTTGTATAATAATAACAATGAGGATGATGTTAATAATAATAATAAGGATGATGGTAATAATGAAAATAATAATCATCATCATCATCATCATCCCCTGCTTTTTTGTACATTGCAGGTGGCACCAGTGATAAAAGCCAGGATGATGGAGTATGGGACGACCATGGTGAGCTATCAGCCCCTGGGAGACAAAGTAAACTTCTTCCGGATGGTCATCTCAAACCCCGCAGCGACTCACCAAGACATTGATTTCCTGATCGATGAAATAGAACGCCTGGGACAAGATTTATAATAATTGGGTGTGAAAGTCTGTTCCTGGACCTCTGACTAGACAATTAAGTTGTCACAAACTGTGCGAATGTATTTGTAGTTTGTTCCAAAGTAAATCTATTTCTATATTGTGGCGTTGGAGTAGAGTACAGTTTAAAATCAAGAAACATGGCTCCTTTAAAGTCCTTTCCTGAGTTTTAGAATACCTCCTTAATAATTAGCTGAACAAAAAGCTGCATTGAAACAAATAAGGAAGAACAGAAGATACTTAAGATTTTATCCCCAATTTTAACACAGTGACTTCTTTAAATTAAAAGCAATCAGACTGAATGATGCCAAATTTGCCCAAAATGATGACAAAATCGAATTGGGGGAAGTGGGAGGGGGCAGCGAGAAGCAGAGTATACAAGCTGTGTGTTTAAAAGCGGAAGTATTTTGCCTTTTTCATAGTATTAGGACAGAATTTCTAATTTACCTATAGTAACATTTCAAATGTATTTAAATAGGTATAGTTTTACAAAGGGAAATATATATATATTAAAAAATCCTATTTTGTAAACTATATATTTTTATTTTTATGGGTTATAAAACTGCAAGGACAGAAGCTGAAAATTAACTAGGATTCTTTTTCTTTTGATGGAGGTGCCTCAAATATTTATTACTGCTTATTTTAAAATGTAAGCCCACATACTACATTCTTAGAGGTACCAGTACCTCATTTCTCCATGTCATGTGGATTGTACATCTCCAGGGTTGATTACTGAAAAAAAAAACCTCAAGAGTACTGCAGCTCTTAAAACCACTTAATAAGATCAATTACAGTACAACAATAGGATGCTATTATTCCTAATTGTTTCCCACTTGGCCTAACTGAGCAGACGCACAATCAATATACAGCGCTAACCAAGACTGAGATAAGGTTGTATTTGGATGGTTTCTGTGTTCTGTGGTAAAAAAGCCTATCCCCAAAAAAGTCACATGTCTGAATAAATGCTTCTCTCATAACCATTTCTGCTATGTGCAGTCCAAAGCGACATTGAAAATTAAAATTAAAAGACTGAAATTCTCATTAAAGAAATAGCATGAAACCTCACAGCTACATTAAGAGGGTAAAGACTTCTTACCGATGTACAGGTCTGCAAGACCAGGCCTAAATTAAATGTGACTGTAATCTGAGTGACAGGGATGAGGTCTAAGTAACAACCTGCTTTGTCAGAAGTTTCTCCCAGTGCTCAACTCCATCCTTGTCTGCAATGGCTTTTGAAACTGCAGAAAAAAAAATGAGATAAAGCTACAGCTGCCTAAAACAGCCCACCCGGAGCCTCACAGCCTTTTCAGAAACCATGGGCATGGCTTTTGCAGCATTCACGTGCTGCATCATTCCTTAACATTAGAGGTGACTCTGGCAAGGAAACTGAAATTTATGCTCTTTCCCCTCAACATCCGAAAGCGTTGGTAAGAGTTCTGCAGCTTGGGCCTGTCTACTTACAACCCTACTAAAGTTTTGGTTTTAACTTTGCCTAAATGGCCAACTTTTCTTTGTAAAGCAATATTGTTTTGCTGTCTCTAAAATACTTGAAGAGAAAAAAAAAAAGTGCAATGTGGTTTTAATTTCATCTAAAATAGATAAATGGAGTATTGATTCAATGTAATATCATGAGGACGTAAAGTAAGAGGGAATAAATTGTGTCTGTAATTGTGCTGCCTTTATTATATTGATAGTACTGTTTTGTCACCTCAGATTGAGGCTGTGCACTTTAGATTTAAACTGTACAATGTTGCAAATCAACATGTGTTGCTGTATAAGCTTGTACAATATATTATTGGTATGTCTTTATTTGTGTGGTAGTAGTATTGACTCTTGATATCGTAAGAACTGCATTCACACCGGTCCCTGTACTGTATCTTTGCTTGGTAGTCACCTCTCCTCGTCAGCTTTTGGGCAAACCTCTCAGCTCACTTTGGTGGATTTCCATTGCATATAGTGTTGCAAGTCAAGCTATAGAGGAGATACCAGTTCTGCCAGGAAGGACTTCAACAGGACCTTTGCTAAATGTGTCAGTCGGCAGACTAATCACTGAAATACTAAATAGAGCAGCAAATTATATTCTTTTTTTCTTGCTGGGAAAAAGGTAAGCAAAGAGCTTATAAAGTAAAAATAGTACAGGGACAATGCTGAAGGTGATCAGTAGTAGCCTGGTTACATCTTGCATGTGCAATTCCATTTTAAAGTGCTAAGTGCAAACAACGTATTTATTAGCTGTATGTGCCAATCCAAGATTTACATTCTGTTCCAGGAGAACCAGCATTTTTTTTCCACCTTACTGTACTTATTGCAGCCAGGAAAGAGCGGCATAGCAACCTGTTCTTGTGTTTGACCAAAGTATCTTATCTGTGATGTTGATCTAAATCCAAATAAAAGTGTAAAACGTGACTCTGGGCCTTTTCATTAGCAGCGCTGATGGGTACTCTGAGCATTTACCACTTGCACCATTTCGGAGCAAGGCCCCAATAAAGAGAATGTTTAATTGTAACTTTCGATGTCTCCTGCTGGATTTTTTCATGACAAGATGCATTCTGTTAATTATCGTAACATAAAAAACCCAGTTCCATCACCAGACCCTTTTTGAGGCGGTACTCGGCACCAGCATGCGAGTGTAAACCTGCCATCTGGTATTCCTTTACCTGATCTTTACAAGACAGATTTAGTCACTTTATTCTCCTCAGACAGGCTCAACATTTTTTTATATTTTGTTTTGTCTTTTTATTCCACAAGCACTTATCCCCAAATTAACCATAGACTCTAATCAGCCTCGGGCACAGCAGTGAAAGCAGTCAGGGCACTTTCCAGGACAACTCAGACTATACAATGGCAACAATTTAAAAGGGCCATGAATAAAAAAGACAAAACAACTGATAAAAAAATTGAGATTTTAATCCTCCTGTCTCCCCTGGCCCAGGGCCTCATTCTTCCAAAATCTGCCACCTGTCTGCTCCATTTTCCTTCCAGCTTCTGAAGTGCTGCCCAGTCTGATGCCAGCAACAGAGAAAGAAAACAAAACAATGCTGCGAAAGCAGCACCAGTCAGAAACCTTACACCTGAAATCAGTTTTTCTGTATCAATTCTTTAAGTCTGTAGCAGAATTTGAGATGAATGAGGAGAATTCAAGATGATGAGCCCAGCTAGGAGGGGAAATACAGAGAGGGCAAAGATGTGGGGATAAGATGTTACCCTCACCCCAATGAAGCTCGTCATTTGGCACTGGGAGAGGGAGCACAGGGTTAGTATTTGTGAGTGCTACTCCCACAGGGGTGCATGAAGCTTGGGCTTTGCTGTAAACCTGTTGCACCCAGAGCTGCATGGAGTCTCCCTGAGAAATGGGGGGCTGGAGCGGATTTGCCTGACCAAGCTGAGCACAGAGACCTGACTCTGCTCAAGGAAGGCAAAATAAAATTGTCGAGCAAGAGGGAATTCAGGTGGCAGCCTGAGCGCCCACTCTTTGCAAAGGCTGATTCCTTTGGCGTTCTGCGAGAACAGAAGCTCTGGTTTGCTGTTTCTCTGCTCCCTACCACAAAACCCCCAGAAGAGCACTCTGCACAGGGAGAATTGTGGATCTGGAAGAGGAGATGTCCTGTTTCCTTGCAGCAGCATACCCGCATGGCGATGTTGCGTCGGCGGCTGGCAGGTTCCCGTGCTGCTGTGCAGTCCCACAAAGCTCCCAGGAGCTGCCGCCCCTGCCGAACGCTCTGCCTCTCCCTGCTGCCCCAGCTGGGATGCTCCTGCCTCTCTGCACCAGTCCCCTGCTCCACTTTGCCATGCCTCTCTCTTCCCTCTGGCCCCACTCCCACAACATGTATGTATGTGATCATCTTAACCATCTTCATAACTTTATGGGAGATTAAGATTCCTTTGAATTGCAGCCTTCAAATTCAATTAAAACTCCACTAGGAGCCTGGGGTCTTCAGTCCAAGAAGCTGCTGTTCTTTCCTTTACCATGGGTTCGTCCTGGTCCAAGCTAACTCCACAAGAGGCACAGTATCAATGGGTGACCCCATCCTGGAGCCGGTCTGCTGCAAGAGGAAGCAGAGTGCCAAGGAATAGCCCCACAGGGAAGCCTCAAAGCCTGCCTGGAGCCATCCCAACTGACTCACGCCCAACAGTCCACTGACTGTGTTCAGTGCTCTTGATAAAGTGTTTTGCAGTTCACTTCTTAAACCTGGGTTTAGTAAAATATGGTTTTGTAAAGCTTAGGTAAACCAGGTTCTGTGAAGCAGAGACTGGCTGAATGAGCAAACCTAACGGCGCCTGTTACATGACCTCATGCAGCTTTGACATACTGGCACGTGATACCCTCTGGGGTTTTACTCAGTGGTGCGTAATTTCACCCAGAGAGACACTCTTCTCCCACTGCTGAAGATATCCATTCTTCCCTAAATGGATGCTGTGTCCATAAAATACAGCAGAATATTTTACTGATGATGCCTATGTGCCATGAGGAACGAGGAAACAAATTCAGCTATTGAAACAGCTATTACAGGCACCATCCAGTGCCAGCAGACCTGCAGACCGAGAACTGTGTCTGTACCAAAGCAAGCCACACCTCAAATTACAGAAACCCTGTAGGCTTTTTTTGTTGTTGATTATTATCATTATTTGTGGGGGAGGGGGGGTGCACAAACACTGGCACATGATTTTTTAGAGCCACAGCTCTAAAGAACAGCAAGGCAATATGTAAAAGAGATTTCTTGGCATGCTGTTTGCCTCAATACTCAGTAGTTAATAGCTACTGAGGGGGGGCTAATGCAGAAACATCAGCGTAGGTGGGCTCTCCTGCAGCTCTTGCAAATCCTCGGCCCTGGGGCCCTGCTGTTCGGAGCACAGGAGAGGCTGAGAGGGAAATCAGAGGCAGAAGAAGGCCCAGCTGGCCCCACAACACAAGATGGACCACCCAAGGTTATGGCTGATGAGGTAGTTGGGCCTCAATGATTTTGGCTACTCATGAGTGCTGCTTGCTCTTCTGCAACTGGCCTCCAGAAGGAACCCAGCGAGAAGCCCTCACCTACCCTACAGCCCACGGCTCCAAGGAAGGAAAGCTTAAATATCAAGTTAGTTGTATTAAACTCATGTTCCAGCATGGCTAAGGAAGGAACAAAGCGAGACAGAGCTCAAGGAAATGTAAATCTTTTATCTGACTTAGCCAGGCTAACTGCCAAGTAGAAAATCATTCCAGGTAGAAAGCAAGCCCGTAGAAAACCACAGGATGTGGTCTTTAATGTGCTAATGTCTTAGACTTATAATGTCTGAACTATCAGTTTTCTACCTGACCAGCCTAACTAAAGGGAGTAATTCAGCTGTTAAGGGAAAGGCAAGTGCTGCAGCTGGAAAAATTACAGACCTGACTTTGCTCTTTGCTGAGGAGACAGAATGACTGCAGGTCATGGCACTGTTTGTTACAGCACTGAAGGATGCAGGTGTATAGATTTTACACTGTGGAGCATTTTAC